CTAATTTATTAAATTCAATATCATTAACTATAATAAAAAAAAATTTAACCTGCAATAAAGTGTGAACATATTGCTAATTTATACTACCTTACATAAAAATGATCCCTTAAGGGATTTGACTTTGACACCTTCTTTTTTTTTTTCACTAGCCCGCTTAAAGGTTCCTTGCTTAAAACCTGGATGATAGACTTAACAAGTGTAATTGAAATTGATCATCTCTCAACTTTTTCCTTTCAAAACGGCTTCCTTTTTACTTCTCTCAAATGTATTATCTCCTTTGACTTTTTTTTCCCTCGCCGATTCATTTTCCTTTATTTCTCTCCACCTTACCTTTGATCACCTCCTCAACTCTTTCACTTCCGACTTCTTATCAATCGCCCTTACAAGCTTGGTTCCCTTATCTTTCACTTGAAAATTTACTTCGTATTATAACTCCATTGCCTGAGCCTTTTTACCTGATATCACCATCAAGGTAAAACCTCAATTTTTTTATCAATGGTTGTAATTTGTTATTTATTTCTTTCCTTTCAATCTTTTTGTGGTTATGTGGGTTTTTTTTTTTTTTTTTTTTATTGTAAGTGTTTCCAATGCTAGATTCAAAGAGTCTTTTCTACGTCGCGGTAACGTGTTTAATGTTTAACAAGCGTGCCATAGATCCTTTGTGCTATAGGAGTATTGACCTCACCACTATTTTGCCCAAGGTTAATAATTCCATTGTTTCCACAATGATGCATGTTTGTGATTTTTGTTTAATTATTGTTGCATGTTTGGTTTTTGTGTGGGGAACAGAGTTATTAAAGAAAAGGCTATATATTTGCTACTTGAATTATAATGAAATTGTCAATTTGACACTGAAAAAAAAATCATAATTAAGTACTTGAAATAATGTTCATTAATTCAGCATCTACCTCTTCTTACAGTTTGATGCAGATTATCATTACAAGTTAATTTTGTATTTTGGCTTTTTTTGTGCAGGAGAATCAAAGCTCAAATGGAATAACTGTTAATGGTTATTATGATGCACAACAGAATGTGCAAGGACCGGTATTACATATTTACTAATTTGAATGGATTTTTATAAACTAACTTATGGGGATTTACTATTTTGATTTTAACATTGATATTTTAAACTGGGGTAATTGTAGGTACCGTTAAATTTGGTGGAGCCACCTCATGATGGTTGTTATATTAATCAGCAAAGCATGCAAGGTCGGGTAAGTTATGTTGGCTTTACAACTATAATAATTAGTTACAAAGAAAGGTGATAAAAGCTGACCCAACGAAACAGCCTCCCAACCCGAATGAAATCATATACCTGAATTGATTTGAGAAGTTAACACCCTAAACTTGATCTAATTTGAATCCAAACAACCTAGCTCAGCTGTTCAAAACTTGATCCAGCATGACCCAAATTGGCTAAAATAAGCAATAATCTAACATGATTGACCCAAAATGATGCACCTAACCTGAATTATCAATCATTAAGGCTTCTTATAAGCAGTTATTGTTCTGTTGTAGTTTAGGTTGCATTTTGAATAGGTTGGGATAATTAAACTTTATAGCACACAGCCATGATAGTTTTTTTTACACTCAACAAAGCATGTATGGACTCGTATGAAGTTTTGTAATGCCATTTTTTTGTTGATAAATTTGGTTTTATGAAAATGATTATAATGCTAAAATTTTCTTTATTGTGGTTTCTCATGAAGGGACAATTGGATTATCAACCTTCAGCAAGTTGCAATTATGCTCTGCAGGTAGTTTGGAAAACATTTGTCAAATAATATTTTTGGGCTGGCACTTATTAATACATGTTTGTATTTCCCTATTGCATAGTGGTGTTTCAAGACATCCATGACAAAGAGACACCATTATGGTACCTGGAACTGCCTTTTGGGACAATTAACAATAGAGTCAGGGTTGTATATAGTAAGAGGAAAAGTGAATCCAAGAAATAGTTTATTATGCTATTATTCACATTAGTTAATTTCACTGATAACCAAAGTAAAATAGAAGTCATCTCACAATTTTTTGTGGTACATTGTGAGCTAAAATCTAGGCAACTTTTGTCTTTGCTAATTTTTATATGCCTCTGCCAAAAAGGTTTGGAAAAAATAAAGCACGACTTGCATTTTATGCATTGCTTTTAACAACAATGACAAAAGGACTTGAGGGCGATCATCTATCACTTTTCTTTGGTGGGTCTTTCATTTCCAAGGCTCGATATCTCTATAGAAAGCATTTTAGAATTAGCTGAAGCAGATCAGATGCCAATGACCATAATATGTAAGCTCTTTTATTGTATTCTTTGATTCATACTATTGATTCAAACCAATATTTTATATGTAAAAAAATGTTGGGGTTTTGCAGGATTATCTGATTAATGGCCCTATTTCAGTTGGTGATGGTCCCTATTTTAGTTGGTGATGCCTTTCCTTTTAGTTGAGGTACATTCATCTTTCAATACAATTTCCCCTTAAAATGTAATGCATTAATCATGATGGAATGAAAATAAATGCTTGTTTTGCATGGGAAAATATTCAGATAAGCCAAATCCATCTAATGAATGGTTTAAGCAAGGAAATTTGTGAGTAATACATACCTGCAGATTGCCTGGGTTTTAGCTCCTAGACTATGCTTTAAAGTTATTTATTTTTTACTTTAATTTGATTTGATAATGAAAGCTTATCCAGTTAGTGACACTGGTGAGAAAGCTAAAGATTCAATTTTTGGACTAACTCTCAAGCCTCAGGTGATGTTTTCAGGTAAGGAAAATACCTTCTTTTTTTTTTTTTTTTAATGAGGGTTATATTCAAGAAATTATTATTACTTTTAAATTTTATTTTGTGATTAATTTTGATAAGTTTAATATTGGTTTCTTTTTAGTGAGTTTAATGAAAAACATCAATGTTGGAATTTAATTTGGCTTGATATTTGATGGTTACTTCCTTGTTTTGGTATAAAATTGATTTATATGTGCTGCAAAAGGATTTAGGGGAATTTGATTTATGCTGAAATAGTGTTGGAAGTGAGGTGTTGGACCAAAGGAGGCAAATATCTTGGCTTCACACCTAGATTTCCTTATGTTTCACTTTCAAACTCTAAGGTCCCAAATGATTCTCATCCTGGTTAAGTATCATCCCTTCTACAATTTCAAAGAAATCATAATAATTGTAATTTTCATTTTTCACTTTTTTCGTTAAAAATCAAGTTGAGCATCTCTTAAATTCCTTTTAATTGTAATTTTACATATGGGTTTTGCTTATTGATTTCCTTTCTTTAAAATTCAGTTCAGATATCTCTTGAAAATTTACTATTCTCTTTTGAAGTCTTAGTTTTGTTTATGGTAAAGGAATGATCAATAAATTTATAATTCAATAAAATATTAAAAATTATTGTAATAAATCGTGCAAAATCGAATTTCACACACTAATATACATATAGAGAGAGTAAAAACCTAAATTCGCAGCGTGCCATGTTTCCTTATACGTTGTTTATACTATTTTTTTTCTTTCTCTACCGTGCGACTACTTTTGATCTTGTTTCCCTTTTCCCACCGACCTTTTTAAAAATGACGTTGTTTGTGATTGTTTTGCTCATTTCACCTGTTCATGAAAACGACGTTGTTCGGTTTCTTAGCTCCATTTTTAAAAAAGCGCTGCTCCTTTTGATGGTTTTTGCATACTCAGAAGGATTGTTTGATTTGAAAGGAAGGCTGTTTCACACTTTCGTTCTTGTTTTTGTATTGTCATACTTTGGAAGTGTCCTTTGGGTTGTGGATGAAACATGTTCCAGCCGTCTTAATAAAACAACTACTTTTGACTGATGTATGAGATATCAAAGTTTTTGAAATTTTAATATAAATAAATTAAGAACTTAAAAATTAGAATTAAAAATTTTTAATAATAATTAAAATAATTTGATATATAATAAAATTATTGTCTAACTTTTTAATATAGTAAAAAAAATTTGTTATGAATATTATTCAATCTTAATTTCAAAATAGTATAGTCTAACAACATACATAAATATTAAATATATATACCTTATATTTTAAGTGAATAATCATCATTTTAATAAAAAAATAAAATCTATTCTTTTTAATAATTTCTTTTTGAGAAAGACAAAGAAGATAATTAAATTAATGCACATTTACATGGTGACAAAATGCGAGAAAATATTAATGCACATGTTAACACAATTGTATAATTTTAATATACTCATAAATAAACATTATATTCTATTTTATAACAAAATTATATACTATATTATATGATATAATTTAAATATCTAGTTTATAAGTGGTTAACAACTTTTAAATTTATAACTTGATGTAGTTGTAGATTGTAATAATTTTGCTAAATGAAATATTATTTGAACATTAAAGAATAGTAATTTCATCTAATATTGCATTTTTTTTTTATATTTGAAGAAGTTCATGTGCTTATTAATGTAATTAATTAATTTTTTGAATTCTTTGCAAAGAAATATATATTATGTTGTGTATTTAATTGAATATGAATATTTTGATTTTTTTGAATTCTTTGAAAAGAAATATATATTATTGTTGTGTATGTAATTGAATATAAATATTTTGATAAGTACCAATGTTTATTAATTATCTTTTAGACTCATTTTTTATGAATAATTCAAATATTAATAATTTATGAGTAATTGGAACATTAGTAAGTTTATTATAATGCAACAGTCTAAAGAGGATGTTACGCCATGTCATTTTCATTGAAAATAATCATGGAAAATTTTAGTACAATTAGATTTTAGATCTGTCCATGAATCCATCAATTTTAAAATTTAATTTTTATTAAATTATTTTTAATAAAAATTTCACGTAAATTTTTAAAGAAATTTTTTCAGATAAAAAGCAGACAGCATCAAAATTTTCAGTTGAACTTTGGCCTCTGCCACGTATAGTACAAGCCGGTAGCTAGGTTTGACACCCAGATGCCACCTAGAATCAAGCCCATATTTGACCTGACACTTCATTTACCTTTTCCATTTTTTTCCTTTTCTCCACGTCAAAACGGGACGCAGAATTTAATACCCCACCGTTTCAGCAGTTTAATCATAATTTCCCCTAACTACCCTCCTTTTCATCCCACAATTACGTCGTATAACTCATGGTACCCACGTAAATTCAAGGTAATTGAATCCCTTTTCCTAAACTTAAAACCATTCGATCCGCCTCTAGAAAGCAAACATCAAACTCACTAGAACTCTCTAGCTTACTTTCTGAATTCTCCTCGAAACCACTCTAATTTTCTCGAACTTCCTAGTAAAATGTTCCTCTAAATTTCTAAAACACTATAAAGCCACGTTCTGTCCCAGACCCACCTCAGATTCTGCATTCTGTTCACAAAATATCAACAAAAACTCTGTAGAAGTTAGCTTTCGCTTTTGTTCTTTTAAGCTTGGTTTGAACAATGGCAACAAAAACTGAAGGCAAGGCGATAGGCATAGACCTGGGCACAACTTACAGCTGTGTCGGGGTATGGTTGAACGACCGTGTCGAGATCATCCCGAACGACCAAGGCAACCGAACCACTCCTTCTTACGTAGCCTTCACCGACACCGAGCGTTTAATAGGCGACGCAGCCAAGAACCAAGTCGCTATGAACCCTCAGAACACCATTTTCGACGCTAAAAGGCTAATTGGTCGTCGTTTCTCGGACCCTTCCGTTCAAAGCGACGTCAAGCTCTGGCCTTTTAGGGTCATCCCTGGCCCTGGAGATAAACCCATGATCGTAGTTCGTTATAAAGGGGAAGAGAAGCAGTTTTCTGCAGAGGAAATTTCGTCCATGGTGTTGACTAAGATGAAGGAGGTAGCTGAAGCTTTTTTGGGGCATCCTGTGAAGAACGCTGTGGTTACGGTTCCTGCTTATTTTAATGACTCGCAAAGGCAAGCAACGAAGGATGCTGGTGCTATATCCGGGCTTAATGTAATGAGGATTATCAATGAGCCAACGGCTGCTGCTATTGCTTATGGTTTGGATAAGAAAGCTTCAAGAAAAGGCGAGCAAAATGTTCTCATCTTTGACCTCGGAGGTGGTACTTTTGATGTTTCCTTGTTGACGATTGAAGAGGGAATTTTTGAAGTTAAAGCTACAGCTGGTGATACCCATCTCGGTGGTGAAGATTTTGATAACAGATTGGTTAATCATTTTGTCGCCGAGTTTAGGAGGAAGCATAAGAAGGATATCAGTGGAAATGCTAGAGCTTTGAGGAGGTTAAGGACGGCTTGTGAGAGGGCAAAGAGGACTTTGTCTTCGACTACTCAGACGACTATTGAGATTGACTCTTTGTTTGAAGGGATTGATTTTTATGCTACGATTACAAGGGCGAGGTTCGAGGAGTTGAACATGGATTTGTTTAGGAAATGTATGGAACCAGTGGAGAAGTGCTTGAAAGATGCTAAAATTGATAAAGGCCATGTTCATGAGGTGGTTCTGGTCGGTGGGTCAACTAGGATTCCCAAAATTCAACAAATGTTGCAAGATTTTTTCAATGGGAAAGAGCTTTGCAAGAGCATAAATCCTGATGAAGCTGTTGCATATGGGGCTGCGGTTCAAGCTGCAATTCTTACTGGTGAAGGGGATGAGAAGGTGCAAGATTTGTTGTTACTTGATGTTACACCTCTCAGTCTTGGGTTGGAAACTGCTGGTGGGGTGATGACTGTTTTGATTCCAAGAAATACCACGATTCCAACCAAAAAGAACAAATTTTCTCAACTTATTCTGATAATCAGCCTGGTGTTTTGATCCAAGTTTACGAGGGAGAGCGAGCTCGAACCAAGGATAATAATTTGCTTGGCAAATTTGAGCTTACTGGTATCCCTCCAGCTCCAAGGGGTGTGCCTCAAATCAATGTTACCTTTGATATAGATGCAAATGGTATATTGAATGTAACTGCTGAGGATAAGACAGCTGGTGTTAAAAACAAGATTACTATCACCAATGATAAGGGAAGGCTGAGCAAGGAAGAGATTGAGAAGATGGTGAAAGATGCAGAGAGGTACAAGGCAGAGGATGGGGAAGTGAAGAAGAAAGTGGAGGCAAAGAATGCATTGGAGAATTATGCATATAACATGAGGAACACAGTGAGGGATGAGAAATTTGCAGCGAAATTGAACCCTGATGATAAGGAGAAGATCGAGAAGGCAGTGGAGGAGACAATTGAGTGGCTGGATAGGAACCAATTAGCGGAAGTTGATGAGCTAGAAGACAGGCTTAAGGAGCTGGAAAGTATATGCAATCCTATAATTTCAAAGATGTATCAGGGTGGTGCCGCTGATGGTGACGTGCCTATGGGTGGTAATATGCCCGGTGGTGGCTATACCGGGTCTGGGTCTGGTTCTGGCCCTGGACCAAAGATTGAGGAGGTGGATTGAAGTTGAAGCAAAGAGAGAGCTTTTGCCTTTTACATAGCAAGGCTGGTTTGGTTCAGCGTTTTTAGTTAAGGGCTACTTTTGTTAGTAAATCAGTTAAAGGAACTTTGTACTTGTTGCTTTGTACTGTCTTAGGTTCTATATAAAAATTGCTCCAAGTTCAAACCTTTTTCTAGTGAATCTAATTGCAAGATCAATTACTTCTGTAATTTTGTCATTGCTACATGAACTTGTTTAGTTTAGCTATTAAAAAAAACAATAGAAATTCGAAAGCCACAGCAATTTACAAAACGGGTTGGACTTTCCGGGCCCAAAGTTCGAAAACTCCAGTCTCTCGTAGTCACATCAAAGGATATTTGATTTTAATTTAAATAAAAAATTATTTAAATTTTATTTAGATAAAATTTAAATTCAATTTATTGAATATTATTGACTCAAATAGTTTAATTTATCAAATATATGGAGTTTAAATATTTTAATACTTATTTAAATAATTTATTAATTTAATTAAAATTTTAAATTTTAATATATTTTTATTATTTTAATTAAAAATATTATCTAATATATATATATTATTACAATATACATAATTATCAAATAAGATTTGTTGATGTGAATACTTACGTAAATAATTTTTCTCTTTGACACATTATAAAATTAGTAAAATTTCTCTAATATATAAGATATTTTTTTATTTTAAACTCTTTATCAAAAAATAAATTTTAAAATTTATTTAATTATCTAAAATTTTAAAATTTAAATGAAAAACCAATTTAGATTTAAAGTAATTAAAGGGACAAAATTATTATTTTTTATTTTGGTAAGATTTTATTTAAATAAATAAAATTAATCCTTATTTTTTATTTATAGATTAAATAAATTATTTAAAAAATTATTGGTTATCCAAATCTTTCTAAGATATATTTATTTGAAAATTTTAAATTATCCAAACATTTTAATTTTTACTAAAAAAATTATCTTTATTTGTTAGATACACCTTTAAACATATCTTTTTATTTTTAAAATTTAATTTTCTAATAATTAGTTATATATATGGATCTATACATGAGATTAGTTTTAAATGACCAAATAGCCAAGGGAAAAGTACAATTATTTTTTGATCTGTAATTAATGTTACACTTTGAAATGCTTATATTTTTATTGCCTTTAAAGTAAAAGAAAAAACCTTCACCTACCATTTCAATCAGGACAATAATATATATCTTTTATTTTTTAAAATTAATTTTTTATATATATCTTAAAATTTAAAAATATCAAATATAATTTTATCATAATAGATTTCATGATAATATTTTATTATTTAAAAGGATCAAAATTAATCTCTTAATAATTTATACATGATTGTTTAATATCATTCTTTAACATCAATTTGATTTTTTTTTTTTGTCATTGTTCTCTATTTTTGTGTTACCTCATTTTTTTTTTATATTAAAAAATGGAAGTTATAAAAACTTTTTTTTATTCTTTCTTAATTAATCATTTGTGATTTATCGACTCTTATCTCTTTTGATGGAAAGGGAGCAATAATACAATCAAGATATTACAAAGTTAACTGGAATTTTCTATTATTAATCTTTTAATCTTTCTCAAATATTTCAAAAATATTCAAATTTCGAAGTTAGAAGTAATCAAATGATATCACCGAGTTACTAATGGAAAAAGAATTTTTTTTTTAAGCATTTATTATTTTTTTAGATACTTATAGTAAACACACCATCTTTAACTTTGACTTTTTTTTTTTATATTACAAGATGCAAAGTTACATAAATACATATACTTTTATATTTTGTAGGTGATGTCTACAGACATTTTCTCTTGATTTTTGACTTTTTACTTAATTAGGTAATATTTTTTCTTTCAATTGGCTTTCTTTTTGGTTTTATATATATTACAAAGTGTAAAGTTACAAAAAATACTTTTTCTTTTATTTTGTCAATATTATCTATAAACCTTTTTTTTTTTTTATATTTGACTATTCACTCAAGTAGTTAATTTTTTTCTCCTAATTTAGCTTTCTTACACTGTGCAAAAACACTTTCATTAATAGTATGCTTGATTACATTGATTTAAATATATTATTTATATAAAAATATTGTTACAAATAACAAGAACTAATTGATTTTTGAAATCGTATTTTATGTATATACTATAATAGCTCATCAATTAGGATTTTATATAAAAATTTGTTATATGCTATATTTATTCCTTTTTAAAGTCAAAATATTTTTTTTATTTATAAAAAAGTTAGGATAAATGAAAATCCAATTTGATTTCATTCTTTTTTAATTTTTAAATCAAATCTCATTTAGTAAGCACTTGATATTTTTTTTAAACATAATTTTTTTAAAAAAATATGAATTTTAAAAAATAATAAGTGTTTATAAATTTGGTGGCATCCAATTATAAACATTTTTAAATTTTAGATTCCGTTTCAAGTCTGACTTAAATCACCTATTCAATTTATATTTTTATTAAAATGTTAAAATGTTATAATATTAAATGTATTTTAAATTTAAAATTAAATAAAATTTTAATATAATAATATTTTGAATCTATACTTAAAAAAGTTATGCATAAAATCATAAATCTAACCTATAATCCAATTAATGAATAGGTCTACTTCCTAATAAGGTTAAAAAAAATTATATTCAATTATGGTCCATTTTTTTTCTTTGCTTGAATTTTGAAAAACATTCATTAATCAAACATGGATATGAATTTAAAAATACATATTTTCTTAATTTATTTTAATTAGTTTAATTAACTTAAATTTATTTAACTAACTTTGTAAGATATAATTGATATAAAATTTTATATTTTTCATATGATAAATAATATTATCATACTTAAAGTGTATGAGATTATTTGGTAAGAAAAAAACAATTGAAATTAAAAAAATAATTTGTGATTTTTTAAAAAAGCCTTATAATTAACCATAATTTATAGGATTTTTTTGTTGTATTTTAACTATAAATTAATTTCAAACATAAATAATTATATATATGATTTTGTCTTTCTTTTAAAATTTAAAAATTTGAATAACTAATAATTTTTTAAATATATTTATTTGATAAAAAACATAAAATTAAAAATGATTTTACGCGTTATCGTGAAAATAAATTTTTTTACACATATAAATTATTTATTATTACCTTATTATATAGATAACAAAATAATTAGATTAAATAATAAGTAGCTTTTAACTTGCTACATCACTAATTAAATCTCCTCAAATTAAAAAAAGTTTCAATTACAATTGAAAAATAATTGATTGAATAATAATTAAAAGTAAATTAATAAAACAAAATAATTCGAATATTGGACGAGTACCAAACTAGTTATATATATATATATCATTTCGATATCAATTTTAAATATATAAATTAGTTTGAAATCAAAAAAAAGTTGAACATATTTTTTTATTAAAAGAGCTTAATGAAATGAATTTAAATAATTTAATTTTTAGCTCAAATCGTATCTCAATTAGGATTGTAAATGATATATTAGTACTCGTAAGTTATTCGGCTTTGATTCGAATAAAATTCGAATTCGACTCTATTATTATCGAATCGAATTAGAACTCGAGTAACTCAACTCATTGATTGAGTCGAGGTTAAGCATTTTTATACTTTACTTGAGTAGCTCGTAAGTCTAATTAATCTTTAATATTTAAATATATATTATTATTATTATAATTAATAAAATATCTTAAATTTAAACTTGAACTCAAATACAATAATTAAATTTTTGTAATCGAATTTATTTTTACATATTAATAAAATCTAATCGAGTAAGTTTTAATAGTTTTATTTTATTCTGAATTAAGTGAGAATTAAAAAAAATTTAATTAAATTCAAACTGAATTTTAAACTTTAAATTTTATACGAAGCTCAAACTTAAGTTTAATATTATATTAATTCGAACTTGATCTATTATATTTTTAATTTTTATTTAAAAATTAAAATTTAATTGAATTTCAAATAATGAATTTATATCCGAAGTCGAGCTCAAGCTGATTCGATTTAACCGGGTTCGATTGCAGCCCTGCTCACAGCTCACAAAAATTCATAATTTGGTTTTCACTTTTCAGAATAAGCATATTCCCTTTTTCTCTTGTGCCAAATTGGCAAACTCCCATAGCACATGGTAGCACCAAAGCCATGACTGTCGTTGCAACCAGCTTCGCTTTCAAGACCCTCTCAACTAGACCCACTAAGAAGATGTGCCTTTACTTCTTTCCTCCCTCGAATCCAAGCTCTTTGGGATCCATTTCCGCAACCCAAATAGTTACTCCTCTTCTTCTCTTCACTGCTCTGCTGATATAACTGCTCGTTACGGTGGTGATTCTCGTTTTGGGTAGCTTTGTTTCTCTTATTATTTTGATTTGAAGGTGTGTTTGCATGTATAATTTTATGCTGCTATGGTTTAGATCAGATTCTGTCAGGCTTATTGATAAGTAGCAGAATATGGTTAGTTCCGTTGTCTTAAGGCAAATTTGTGCATTATCTTGAGATTTTTTATTCAGTTATCAAATTGATTTAATCTGTTAATCTGTAGGTTGGGGTAGTGTCTAAAAGCCAGGCCATTCAAATGGCTGAAAATGTGGAGCTCGATTTGGTATGCTTTTCTCGGTTGAAAATTGCACCCCTTTTATAAGTTAAATTTCGGTCATTTCTTGCTTTTACTACTTGGTTTTGCAAATTTACTTTTTTTTCTTGTTAAAAAATTGCTTAAAACTAAAAGTAAATAGTAGAAAGAGGCCTTATATTTGATTAAAATCTTAAAAATGAACAAGTTATTGAAATGTACATATTCCAGGCAAAAGTAGAATGTGCATTGCTCTTCACAAAAGTTGAATTTTTACTTTTTAAATATTACGAAAATATTATTTGCTTCATGCATAAGCATATCTTTCTTCTTTTACTTTTTGACTGAATAAGCAAGTACTAAGGGAAATAATGGAATGGAGTCTTTGACATTTCCGTGTTCTACAATTGGTTTTATTACATGTCTAAATTCTGTGATGAATATGAATATAAATCTATGAAGTTGCTTAGTGGGGATGGGATGCTTTATGCTTGTAATCTAGCCTCATGCTTTAGGTATCAGTGTTATTATAGTTCTTTTGTGGCTACATGAAGGTTAAGCAAAGTTCTTGTTTGAAACCTTCCATCTGTTTATGACAAGTGGAGGAGGGAAAGATTGATGTAATTGGCTAGTAGACAGCACAAGAAATTCACAACTTTTATTGCATACTTGAGTGGGCATATGATCAGCAACTTGCTTGAGTAGGTACCAGAGTTATTGTAGTTCTTCTTTCTTGGTTTTCGTCAGTTTTAAATATATGCATTCTGGGATTCATTGGTTCTTATTTGGTTTTGGTTTTGCAAATTTTTCTGCTGCTTCATATGTCTCTGGATGCTAGCTTACATCTTTAAACATCATTACAGCTCATTTTAGTAGATTATAAGTGGCTTCAACTGTGCATTGCTGCAGGGCAGTCAATGTTGCTGTTAATGAGAAATTTATTTTATTTTTATTTTTTGGATAAATAGGAATTTATTTTTTAAGATTATAATAATGGGAAAAAAGGTTATGTAATGAATCCATCTTCAGGTTTTAAATTAATAATTTATTTCAAAAAATGAAAATTCTAATGCACTTTAATTCATGAAGAAGAATGGAGAAGTAGGAAAACTTTATTGATATCATAATAGGTATCTAGAATATCTGTCCTAAAACAACAAATTCGAAGAACAAAAACATTAGGATGAGGCAACAACCATAAGAGACCTAGCAATTTTCCTAATCGAGATAAATCAATGTAATGATATTGATGACAGCATAAATTTAATTAAATAATTTAAGTGATAGAGGAAGACATAAAAGAAAAAAGAGACATGTGTAAACCTAAAAATGGGGAAACCAATGAAGAGAAAATAGATTTGGTAGAAATAAGACAGAAGAGCCTAATCGAGTGAAATTGTGATTGCCTGGATATTTTTCTTTCTTAAGAAAATCTAATACAAACAAATAGTGGGTTGGCACTGTTATTGGAACAGTGTGTTTGTGAGAGAGAAGCACTGCTCTAATAATAATGTGATGGTACCCTTCTCTGGTATAATAGTATACTTTTGTTTGTCTCTTGAGAAAACTTGATGTCAAAATGGTGAGTAGGAAGAAAATAATATGAAACAATCAAAGGCGTGTTCAAGCTGCAGAATTGTGCTAATTCTGGCCTTTGATAAGGGCACTATGAACCTACAATCCGCTTTGCTCTAAGTGTATACCTTAGAATCATAAGCTTAAGGTTGTGTAGGGACGTCAAGCTGGTATTTCAGTATACTTTCATCTGTTCATTGCCTCTGGTCTTTTTTTAAGCGATAATTTGCTTAAGTAGCCTATACATATTTGCTGAGTAGATCAAAAAACATTTTTTTTTCCTTTCTCTTTTAGAAAGAAAAGGTTCTTTTGAACTTCTTGTGTGTATTGGTGATAATGAAATTTGTTTTGATGCCACTTTTGCAGGTCATATAATTCCCTGATGCAGATCCTCCTGTTGTCAGAATAATGGATTATAGGTATAATATGCTTTATGCTATCTTAAGAGAAATAGTATTAGTCTATTATTATTCATGTACTTTTATGGACTTTATCTCCTACTGGTTTAGAAGAAATGGTTGTGAAATTAAAGCGTCTGCCAAACAGTGTTTTTCTTTTTAAAGTGAAGTTGGGGAAAGAGAGATTTAAGCTTGGAGCAGTCCTTTCAGATGAAAGAAAAGTTCAGTACACTATGGACCCTCTCAAAGTGAAGTAAATAAAGGTTGGGGGAACAATCAGTTGAGTCTAGCAGACTGTTCATCTACATTTTTATGCTAATTAATATTTTAATGTAGTTCTTTATGATAATTAATAACTTAATGTGGTACTTTATCTATTACTCATATACATGTTACTGAACACAGCACTACTGAACTGATGCAAAAAAATGCTAAATCAATAGTCTTAACTTCTATATATCTTTTCCCTCTGAAATTTCTTTTTGAACTGTAGTAATACTTGCTTTTACCTTTTTCTAGGTAAGTACAGATATGAACAACAAAAGAAGAAGAAAGTACAGAAGAAAAAAAGTGCATTTGAATATCCTTTCTCTTAAGAGTTTTCTCATGAGGGAATGCTAAAGTCATATAACATCAGGCTGGTGGCGAAGCGGCTCTTTTCTATTTTAGTATTGTATGACATGATTCTTTGGACCCAGTCAGTATGACTGTGGATTTAGCACTTCCCTGTATATTTCTCTTTGCTTCATGATTAAACTTTTCTTTTTGAGAAAGGATGCTGACTAAACTATGATTTTAACTGCCAGCCAATTGCATGGGTTTGTAGGACCTGAAAATGGGGTAAGTATTTGCATCGTGCTTCTATGTAGTATTTGCATTTAATCTCATAATTTATGGCTTTTGTTATATTACTTTGTTTCATGGTTTTTATAAATGGTCAATTATCATCTATAGTTACAAAACAAGTTTCTCTTGGCAAAATTATTTCATAATCACACTTCATAGATATTTGCTAGCTGTTAAAATTTTCTTTCAAACACCGATGACCCTAGTCTGTCCCCAAATATCTTTTCTCTGGGTGTCAAATTTTTCTTTCAAACAACAATGGCTTGGAAAACGAACTATAATCCTACTATTTAATATCTTGCTTTTTGGTAGTCTAAAAATGAGAAATGTTTTATCATTTTATTATTAATCTGCAGTTTATTTTGTTATGATAAAATGATTAATGCTCTTGGGAGAGAAAGGTGACATGTTACCCTGATACCTCTGGCTCATGAGAAGTGTCAAGAAGCACATGCACAATCTATCCCCGCATAAACACTATACGAGGCTTGCAATTTAACCTATTTTGAGCTGTTATTTGGAGGCCAAGTATTTCCTCTGTTGAATTTTGCAGATTAAGGGAATTCATCAATAAAGGAACAGTGTGATATTAATAGGCTTTAGACTTGCGACTATCTGAATGTACAAGTTTCATTCCATCATCTTTTATTAACACCGGAGGTAGAAAGTTGTGATCATTTACCATGGTTGTGTTATGTCAATGGTACTATCTCAGTGAAGTGAAGAATACTTGGTGTTGAATCCGACTTTGCCTAGTCTCTTCCTTGATGTGTAAGTGCCTTTATTCAATCATATATCTTTTTCATCAACAGGGGTAAAAGGTTGCAAGAGTAACTTATTTGACTGTGGCTTCCTTCAAGAACTTTATTCTAAATCTATAATGAATAGCTATTTTTGAGCTCTTTCTATTGTTTTGGCGTTTCTAAATTGCTTTTATTTGTTTTAAACAATTATAACATTGATCAACGTGACAAGGTATTTTCATGTTGAAATTCTATTGTTCTGTTCGTTTGAAAGCCGCAAGTTTGTTTCTGAAAAATGGTGACAAGGTATTTTCAGTTTCATATGGTGGTTGCATATTCATACTTGATGTGATACATATAGGCTATGTCATGCTTTGGAGTTCAATAGCACTAAGTAGTTTGATCTATGCTTTCAGGTTAAGGTCATACTGAACTTGAAGGGGTGAGAAAATGAATTAAGAAATATGGCTACGCAGCTCATAGGGTGTTTCCAGAATGATGTTGGGGAGGTACATTCATGAAGTATCTTTTTCTCTTCCATGAATGATGAATATGCCACTTTTAAGGGTAAAATAGTAAAAATAATCATATAGAGCTCTCAAATTTCCAACAGTGCTATATTGCAGATTGTTTTTAGATTAAATCATGAAATGAGCATTATGCTTAGGTGGCAAATTTTAAGTTGCAAACTTGAAACAGCCCAAGTTGAAATGGAAAATGTTTAAGCATTTCCAGAACCAGAGGTGGCATTAACTTGCATTTTGATTTAATCGGGGTAATTTCTTTTAGGTGCTTCTTAGATAACTTTTTTTTTTTTCAAAAACAACCATTTTTTTTCTTTTTGAAAAATGTCATCAAATAGTTCCCAGAAGAAGAGTGTTATTGAATGTTCTCTAGCAGATTGGGTAATATGTGCGGTTGGACAACAAGAATGAAAACAGAAGAGTGATCTGTGAACAACGTAGAATAATCAGCAACTGTCAGCTTTGGTTGTGGTGTTTTTCCCCTTCATGCATCTTTATGCTGTTTAATGCATCTGTTATCGTATTTGCCATTCATATTTCCTTACCTAAAAGCTTCTTTGAACTCTAAATTCTAATCTCCATCCTGATCTGCAGCTTGCAAGTGAGGGAAGCAAAAACTTTCAAGACGGATATATTCATAGTTTCGATTCCAAATAAGGCTGTTGTACAAAAGGCTCAAGATCCAGGAAAGAAAAAAGATAAACCAACCAAAAATGAAGTCTCAGCTGGTCTGCTGGTGTCTGAGTATCAAATCTCGAGGAAAAAGTGTTTATGGCAGTATAATAGTCAGCTGGTAGATTTATTTTCTTCAACAATGGAGTTAGGCCTTGTCCTTGGAAGTCTTGTATGGTATGTTAGTGTGTCACAACTCACAGCCTGTATTAAATGTTTGTTAGATTTTAATAACAGAAGCAACCTTTTTTTATTACATCAAATACTTGTAACATTTTATGGTAACATAATTGAATCTCTCCTAGCCTTCCTCCGTTTTGTTTCAAATGAACTCAGTGATGTGCGACCCGAGTTTGGTTCAGAAAGTTCTGTTATGAGGTCAGTGGTACTTCCTATTAGGATAATATCCCTAACGCTGTGATTGGTAGGAAGGAAAATGGAGTAATGGTGAAGACAGGAAAACAGAAATGGAGTAACGGTGAAGACAGGAAAACAGAAGAGGGAAGGAATGAAGGAGAATATATTTTTTTTTCCTTCTTCGTGTTTGGTGCAAGATATGGATGCCAAAAGGAAACGAAAGTTGAGGGTAAAATCATAAATCAACATTTGTTTTTTCTCCCACATCCGACGAATTGGATTTTGATTTTTGAGGGAATCGAAAGGCACAAACAAATTTATTAGATGGTCTTTGGGGGCTTGATGCATTGCCCGTCTCTGCGAACATATCCCTTGTATGAGAGTTTTTGCTGTACGCTAGTAAGGTCAAGAGGGAAAACTATGGTGGAGACTGGAGAGGACTATATGCTGCCAGTGTGGCAATGGTCGTGTGGAAGCGACTTCTCTTGGTTCATAGTACGTTATGTGAGGGATGAAAAAAGGATGACTAGCTAGTCTAGACAAGTCTGAGTTCACTGTTAGTTTCATAGTTGTTAGAATTGAATCAAATTGTTGATTTGACCGATTGAATTGATAAATCAATAGTAAAATCGATCCGATTTTATAGATAAATCTTGCTTTAAATTGTTGTGAACTAGTGATCGAGATAATAAATCAATAAATTAAATATATATTTTTTTAAATCAAACTAATTCAATATCAACTAATAAAATTAAATAAAATATAAAAAAAACACTTTAAATATTTAAAATAATTTAATTAAACTCTTATACTATTATTTTATTTAAATAAGCTTGTCAACTCTTTTTATTTATTTTTATTATAAAAGCTATTGTATCCTTATATTAATGATATATTATCATATTTTGAGATATGTAAATAATGATATTAAAAAAAAACTTACACATATGTAAAAATAAGTAATTTTAAAAAAATAATTTAATAAAAAAATTTATTAATTGATACCATAATAAAAAATAATTATAAAATTAATAATATATAAAATTAATAAAAAATAAAAATATTAAAAAATGATTAATTATTTGATCATGATCGAAAATAATTAATAAAAGAAAAATATATATACGTAAAATTAATAAAAAAATACATTCATATAAAAAATATAAAAATAATTTTAATTTTCTTTTTACTAATTTTCATATAAATATAAATATATTCTTTTTATTAATTTTATATATAAATATTTCTTTTTTATTACATAAAGATTAATTATTACATATTAATAAATATAAATAATTATTAGTTATTATTTAATATTTATTATATTTATTAAAATATAAATATTATTTTTAACTATTAAAATATAAAATATGATTTTAATAAAATATTAAATAATTTTATTTCTAAGTAGTAATTAATTGTTTTATAAATTTTATATTTTAAAATTTGTAGTTTATAATATATCTTAAAATTTATAATTTTATGATTAAATTATTAAATTATAACTTTAGCTAAAAGTTCAAAATTTGAAATTTTAAAATATTTTTTATAATATTTTTTTATTAAATCGATAATTGATCCGAACTTTAAATGGTTAATATCCGATCCAATTTTTACAAACATGGTTGATTTTAGTCTGATGGCTCTTAAACCCTTTTTTGGACTGCGACTAGCAGAAACCTAGGTATTTGCCATAGCCTTGGAAGATAATTATGCACGTGTTAAGAACAAATGGAAGCTCTATTTTTGATGCATACAGTGAAACATATTTTTTCCAAGCTTGAAGAAATCTACCTATCTGGCCGGGAAACCAAAAGGGTTGGGGAATCAATCAGAGTCGATAAATCTGCTTTCAAGACAAAAAAATCTGCTGGAAAGAAACCATGTTGCATACTTGCATTGCTGTTAGTGTTAAAATCTGATTTGCACGTAACAGGGGCTTGATCAGTCGGTATATAAAAAAGTTGGGGAGGACTAGGCTGTCTAGAAGATGGAGAGATCTCAACCTTATCCACCTAACGATTGGAACTTTAACTTTGGTTTTAAGTTCTTCCATCCCAAGCATACTCCTCACGTTTTTTTCTTTTCTTTCACCATTTTCACCACCAATTCAAGCAATAGATTTTTGCATTTATTGTATTGTATATGCCAGGACCTCTCGCTATCCCATTTTGCTTTTATTTTCATTCTCTTTCCAACTGCATGAAACGCAGCTGCCTCCTGGATATCTGCTAACACCTACCCTTGACCACAGATTACAATTATTATCAGCCTAGTATAGCAGTAATTGAAGCTTTGCTTTCGAAGAAAGTAATTGACCCTTCTGAAAACATATTTTAGATGTTCAGTTTTTATTGAAAAATCAGGGTCCCCTTTGGTTTGAAAAAATGTTTTTTGTTTTCATATTTTTTTTCTAAAAAAATATATTTAATGAACGGAAACAAAAAATTTTTTCTAAAAATAAAAAATAAGAAAAAATAAGTAATTATAGGAAAAATTATTATTAATGCTATCCAATTATAAATATATAAAATATATTTATTAATTAATAACTTTCAAAAGTATTCAAATATGAGGTCAACTTCTTAATTTGCTAAATATAAGTAAAAAAGTAATGAACATTTTTTATTTTCATAATTAAAAATATTTTTTTCATATTTAAATTTAAATTTATTTTTTTTATTTTTTTAAAAAATAAAAATAAAAAATCTTTTGTTTTCTAAAACTAAATACTACCCTAGTGTCTATTTTGAGGGCAGTAAATTTCTATTGTAAGTAAGATAGTTTTCCCTTTCGAAGAAATCATGGCTGCCAGTATATAGTCATGTCGTGCAAAATTGTTATCTCAACCCCTGTGAGTCTTAACATCCTTTTTTTTTTTTTTTAATACGAAGGTCTTAATTTAAAATTGTTGTAAATGTTAAAATTTAAAATTAAATTTATTGAATATTAATTTTTAAAAATTATTGCACGAATAAAATAAATTAAATTCGTGATTTCATAAAGTTTCACTTTTAGAATCAAACCAAGTTTAAATTTCTACTTCCATGACTGCTAATGCCTTGTGCAATGGTATGACAATCAGTTTTCCTTGATTCATGACCGGAGCATACTGAGTTTGGCTTGAAAATTGGTCTCCTTAGCTTTACACATCTAGACTTTTGCGATGTGAAATATCTGCATAAAAAAGTTTAGATAAGCAGAGCAACCAAAATAGTAGTGGTATGGAAGGCGAAGCCCTGCTGCAACCAGAATTTTGATGATTATTATCCTTTGTGTCACATCACTTTTGACTATTTCACTCTACACCAATCAAATTTGGTGTTAACCTTCTATGAATTGGTCTACTACTCAATGAAAACACATGGAGTTCCATAATCTATCAAAAAAAAAAAATCATTGAAAATATTTTTACAGTACTTGGCTAAAGTTTTGGAAATGGAAAAAGAAAATGAAAGGCAACATTTAATAGACAAAACAAGCATGATTTCTTATGGGAGTAAAATTAAAGATAATTGAGGCAAAGAGGAAACAAAGAAGATTAAAATAGACAGATAGGAGGTCGTTGAAGCTTGAAACTTGTAAAAGCCGGGAAAGAAGGAGCAATGGTAGTTGGAAAAAACAGACGAAATCTTAACTTCAAGGCAATGGAGACTCTGCAACCAACGACACCATCTCTTATGTGGACACATTAGGTAAGAGAGCCACACTTTCAGCTCCCATTCTCCTATTTCTCATTCATAAAACACTTCCTCTCTCCCCTCTCCATTCTCCATTGCCTTGTTCCTCATTCCTTCCCTCCCTCCAATGGAAGCCAGCGCTGGACTTGTCGCCGGTTCTCACAACCGCAATGAACTTGTTGTCATTCATGGCCATGAAGAGGTATATATACACGGAAAGATAAAAAAAAGACACAGTTTTAAGTAACAGTTTAACCCATTTTTCTTTTACTTGAGAGATGAGTTTTTATTGTGTTTTTGGCTTGTGCAGCCTAAACCTCTGAAGAACCTGGATGGTCAAGTTTGTGAGATTTGTGGAGATGGGATCGGGCTGACAGTAGATGGAGATCTTTTTGTGGCCTGCAACGAGTGTGGTTTTCCTGTTTGTAGGCCTTGCTATGAGTATGAAAGAAGGGAAGGGACTCAACAGTGCCCTCAGTGCAAAACTAGATACAAGCGTCTCAAAGGTATTGTCAGTAATATGCTTGTTGCAGCATCCATTAATTCTTCTAGGAAGTGAACTCACATTTTCTTTTTGTTCTAATTATGTCGTGAAGGGAGTCCTAGGGTGGAGGGAGATGAAGATGAAGAGGATGTGGATGATATCGAACATGAATTTAACATTGATGATGAACAGAACAAGCATAGGAATCTGGCAGAATCAATGCTTCATGGGAAGATGAGCTATGGAAGAGGCCCGGAAGATGAAGAAAATCCTCAAATCCCACCAATTATAACTGGTGTCCGGTCTAGACCGGTAAGCAAAGTTCTTGTTTTGTCATTAAGGCTCAGTACAACATGAAAATATTTTCCTGTTGCCATGAAAACCTTTAATAATAACTTTTTTTTATCTGTTCTTGCAGGTGAGTGGGGAATTCCCAATAGGAGGTGCTCTTGCTTATGGGGAACACATGTCAAATTCTTCCCTTCATAAACGAGTGCACCCCTATCCTATGTCAGAATCCGGTATGTTTTTTAATCTTGTTTCACATAGAAGTACTTGATTTTTGGAAATTTTTGCATCAATCAGGGAGGAAAGTTTGTGACCTTCTGCACACGTTCAGCTGATTTCTTAAATGTTAACCACAAAATTACAAAGTCTTAAGTTTTCAAGCTTTGGGTGGTTTAAAAATCAACTTTTCTTTTTATATGACTGTGATCAGTATATATGGATATATGCCCATAAATTTTCCATCCAAGTAGTGCAAATTGGCTATGCAACATATCAAAAGAGAAAAATGATGTCTCACTTTTTGTTTTGCTCTGCATATACACTTGCAAACAAAAGAAAGCGCAAGATGGGATGAAAAGAAAGAGGGAGGATGGAAAGAGAGAATGGATGATTGGAAACTGCAGCAAGGGAATCTGGGTCCTGAAACTGATGACGCCAATGACCCTGACATGGCCATGTAATTCCTTACTGCTGTTAAATGCTAGCACGTGAAAGACTTGTATGTGCAGGAGCCAGTTTGTTAACCAGTATGTGTTTTCTCATGTGAACTTCTTACAGGCTTGATGAAGCTAGGCAGCCACTGTCAAGGAAGGTGCCAATTGCATCTAGCAAGATCAATCCTTACCGTATGGTGATTGTGGCTCGTCTGGTTATCCTGGCTTTCTTCCTCCGCTATCGAATTTTGAACCCGGTGCATGATGCAGTTGGGCTGTGGCTAACTTCTGTTATCTGTGAAATCTGGTTTGCCTTTTCATGGATCCTTGATCAGTTCCCTAAGTGGTTCCCTATTGATCGTGAGACATATCTTGATCGGCTTTCCCTCAGGTATAAAGATTTTGCAATATTCTAATGACGCACTTAAAGTATTGAAGCAGCTTTGATGCAGAACCGTTCATAATTAAAAAAATAGAACAGAATTCCTGATACCAGAAATCAAATTTTACACCTTCATAAGAGTATTTAAAATTAATCTTCTAAAACTACATGCTTTAAGAACATCCTTTATAATGACTGCAATTCATCTACGGTCTAGTTATTTTTTGCCCCATAATCAAACTCATAATGGTTGATGCAGATATGAGAGGGAAGGTGAGCCCAATATGCTTGTTCCTGTTGATATCTTTGTCAGTACGGTGGATCCCATGAAGGAACCCCCTCTTGTTACAGCTAATACAGTTCTATCAATCTTGGCCATGGACTATCCAGTGGATAAGATCTCTTGCTACATTTCTGATGATGGTTCTTCCATGCTCACCTTTGAAGCATTGTCCGAAACAGCTGAATTTGCTAGAAAATGGGTGCCATTCTGTAAGAAATTTGTTATAGAACCCCGAGCTCCTGAGATGTACTTTACTTTAAAGGTTGATTATCTCAAGGACAAAGTCCAACCCACATTTGTTAAGGAGCGTCGAGCTATGAAGGTTTGTATATATGAACTAGACAGCTCAGAGTTTAAGCTGAAGTAAGTTAATTTATTTGAAGTTCAATTCTTCTTGGTTTTTAACAGAGAGAATATGAAGAATTCAAGGTTAGGATAAATGCACTTGTCGCAAAAGCCCAGAAGGTTCCTCCAGAGGGGTGGATCATGCAAGATGGGACACCATGGCCAGGAAATAATACTAAAGATCACCCTGGTATGATTCAAGTATTTCTTGGTCAAAGTGGAGGCCATGATACTGAAGGAAACGAGCTCCCTCGGCTTGTTTATGTATCTCGAGAGAAAAGGCCTGGTTTTCTGCATCACAAGAAAGCCGGTGCCATGAATGCCCTTGTAAAGATCTAATTAAGCACTTAATAACTTCTGTTTCATTCAAGTTCCCTTCGTTTCTAGGCGCTGATGATAATTATGCTAAGTCAATTGCAGGTTCGTGTCTCTGGAGTGCTTACAAATGCGCCTTTTATGTTGAACTTGGATTGTGACCATTATGTGAACAACAGTAAGGCTGTAAGAGAGGCTATGTGTTTCTTGATGGACCCTCAAATTGGAAGAAAGGTCTGCTATGTCCAATTCCCTCAAAGATTCGATGGTATTGATAGGCATGATCGATATGCCAATAGAAACACTGTTTTCTTTGATGTAAGTGCAACAAGAAATTCCACATTCCCACTGTTTGAGATGGCCAAATGGGGCTTTATGATTGTTTAGTACACTATAAGATTATATATAGGGACAAATTAAATGAATCGGTTTTTTTATTCTTTTTCTCGGATTTCTGCAGATTAACATGAAGGGTCTAGATGGTATTCAAGGCCCTGTATATGTGGGCACAGGGTGTGTTTTCAGAAGGCAAGCTCTCTATGGTTATGAACCTCCCAAGGGCCCTAAGCGCCCAAAGATGGCAAGCTGTGGTTGCTGGCCTTGCTTTGGACGCCGCAGAAAGGATAGAAAGGATTCTAAGGATGGTGGAAATGCAAATGGGCCAAGCCTAGAAGGTGTTTAAGATTACTTTTTTCTTGTTTTCAATTTTGAACTGCTTTCCTAGATACTGTTCCTTCACCTTCTTCCCTAGATGCTGTTTCTTCACCTCACCTCACTTCAATTCTTTTTATATACAAACAGCAACAGAAGATGATAAGGAGCTACTGATGTCCCAGATGAACTTTGAAAAGAAATTTGGACAGTCAGCCATTTTTGTTACTTCAACCCTGATGGAACAAGGTGGTGTCCCTCCTTCCTCAAGCCCTGCAGCTCTGCTTAAAGAGGCCATTCATGTAATTAGTTGTGGTTATGAAGACAAAACGGAATGGGGTAGTGAGGTATTGCCAACTTCTTGAAATTTCATGACATTCGACTTCTAATTTAGGAAGAAGAGTAATATTTCTTATTGCTTATAGTTGGGTTTTTTTAAAGTTTAAAACATTCATAATGTGAAGATTTTTGTGCCTTCTGTACGTGCAGCTTGGCTGGATTTATGGCTCAATTACAGAGGATATTCTAACAGGTTTCAAGATGCACTGCCGTGGATGGAGGTCAATATACTGTATGCCAGTGTTACCAGCATTTAAGGGTTCAGCTCCCATCAATCTCTCAGATCGACTCAACCAAGTCCTTCGTTGGGCTCTTGGTTCTGTTGAAATTTTCTTTAGTCGTCACTGCCCTGCGTGGTACCGCTTCAAGGGAGGAAAGCTGAGGTGGCTTGAGCGATTTGCATATGTCAACACAACCATCTACCCCTTCACATCCTTACCACTCCTTGCCTATTGTACCCTTCCAGCAATATGTTTGCTCACAGATAAATTCATCATGCCACCGGTAAATGAATGATTCTTATTTCATCATTTCAAGTACTGACGTTGGAACGCTAACTGAAGATTAAACAGCTTATCTGCTAATTTAACTTGTTCTTGATTCTCTCCTGCAACAGATAAGCACCTTTGCAAGTCTATTGTTCATTGCCTTGTTTCTTTCAATCTTTGCAACTGGTATTCTTGAGCTAAGGTGGAGTGGTGTGAGCATTGAGGAATGGTGGAGAAACGAGCAATTTTGGGTCATTGGTGGTATTTCAGCACATCTGTTTGCTGTTGTCCAAGGTCTGCTGAAGGTTCTAGCTGGTATTGACACTAATTTCACTGTCACATCCAAGGCAACAGATGATGAGGAGTTTGGAGAATTGTACGCCTTCAAATGGACAACCCTCCTGATTCCTCCGACCACTGTCTTAATCATCAACCTAGTTGGAGTTGTTGCAGGCATCTCAGATGCCATAAACAATGGATACCAATCTTGGGGACCTCTATTTGGAAAGCTCTTCTTCTCCTTCTGGGTGATTGTCCATCTCTATCCGTTCCTTAAAGGTCTAATGGGGAGGCAAAACAGGACACCAACCATTGTTGTTATATGGTCAGTGCTATTGGCTTCAATCTTCTCCTTGCTTTGGGTCCGAATTGACCCATTTGTCTTGAAAACCAAGGGACCAGACACCACACGATGCGGCATCAACTGCTGAAAAGTTTGGTTTCCCTTTCTTCTTTGATGCGTGGCTCTCAATATTATTCATGTACATTCTTGATCTTACGAGTATGTGGTATGTGATGTATGAACAAGCAAAATGGAGATGCACAAGAAAGAATAAAATTAGAGTGAAAATTTTTGTATAGTTATATGCATTGTACCAAGTTTTGTCATTGAATTGAAAATAGCTCTACTTTGTGATCCCCTCTGTTTAATTGCTAAGTTCGCATGTTCTCATTCTGGCATCTCAAACTACATAGCATTTCATTTTCTTCTTTTCTTTGGAACTTGGGAACATCAATCCATTGCCTTTTAAGAAGCTCTTGTCTTGAAGGAATAGCTTAGTTGGGTTAATACCCGATGATCGTGTAGATACCATAGTATGTAGAGCAAATGCCTATAATGCCATTTAGGAGAAAGGGCATGCTTAAGGCTAAGCCATGGCAAATGTTTAAAACAAGCAATCAATGGCTTTGCCCTTTGAAATATTAATAGCATAATTGTTATGCCATTCAAAGTGCATTTCTAATCTACAAGATAAGACTTAAAACATGAAGGCGTCAATCTATGGCGATTCTATCAAGAGTTTGAGATTGAATCTTGCTCTTATTAAGATTGAAAGAGTCAGAAGAGAAGGATGAGGAAAAGTACGTATTTGCATAGTCAACCATTTGAACCATAAAAAGAAAATAGAAGTCAAGATGATCAGTGTTGAGGCTTCCACCACCTCCCCCCCCCCCCCCCCCCCAAAAAAAAAAAAAAAGAAGAATCAAAATAATAACTAAAAAAATTAAGTAATAAATAACTATGGTGTGTTTTACTTAATGGTACTTGGGATATGAAATCTGACGGTAATTTTGACTTCTTACAAAACCACACCACACAACACAAAAATGGTACACACACATAAACCACAAATACACAAGTATTTAAGTAGAATCAAAACTGGTGCTTATTGAAAAATATTACTAACAATAAAAATACATCAATGAAAGTAAGTAACAAAGAATTTTCCTGTTTAAATAACATCCTCTTAGAAGTCAAAATTGCTAGAAGTGTACCTCTTTCATGAAACAGTTACTCCAAGATCTGTTTATGCACAAAATTTCTTCAAGGACATAAGGAAACAGGAAGCATGAACTGATGAAAATCTAAAGATTGCCAAAAGCTTGAGACTCATGTTGAACAACTGAATGGTTTGATTGGTATTCTCCCAGTTCTCTGGTTAGAAAACCAGCCAAATTATAGAACATAGGTATGGAATGTGAAACATAGTGTTAATTGCATTCACTTGCATTAACTTTGGCATAAATGATTCTATCCAAGTCGACTGGTGGCTTTATGCCCAATTGGTTGACAGCACCCAACCTTGATTTGTTGCTTTCTGCAACCCATCTTATTCAATGAACTGAATAGTTATTTCATCACCAATAGTCTCCACAAGAACACACACCATCTTTAAAATGATGGAAACGATTAGCATCCCTAACCACAATGACCCTCTCAGTAATCTTGGATATAAATTTAGTAGCAGTATGGCAATCTACACAAACTCGAAGATTCTTAAAAATCCTAATTTCAGTTCCAGGCTCCGTAGCAATAAGGCCAAAAGCAATGGCCAATTTCTCACTGTGAACATTTATCATTAGCTCCTTCTCTTCCTCTTCTACATCATGCAATGCCATATCAGTCTCGGTCTGAAAACCTGCCTCCTTCATTTTCCTTATTAATTTTTCTAGCATTGCATATATTGCTGATGCTTGAGGATGGGACCGATCACCAGATGTAAAGACAAGTGGGGTTTCACCAATCTCAATTAGAGTGCACCCAGGAATCTTTGCCAGCTTTCTTTTCTTAACATCTTGTCGGACTGAAGCAGCCAGTGGATAGTTCCTCTCAGCTGAGTATAAATTTGACAGTAAAACATAATATCCTACATTTTTTGGGTCCAATTCAAATAGCCTTTCAGAAGCCACACGGGCAAGCTCTTTATCCTTGTGGATCACACAAGCACCAAGCAATGCACCCCACTCAGCAGGACCTGGCTCAACTGGCATTTCCTTTATAAACTTTAAGGCTTTCTCTAATTGGCCAGCTCTGCCAAGGATGTCAACCATGCAGGCATTATGTTCAGCTAATGGCTCAAAGTGATAAACATGGATCATAGAATGAAATATTTCCTCTCCTTCTTTCACCAAGCCAGCATGACTGCAAGCATACAGGAGAGAAAGAAATGTAACACCATTTGGTGCAACCCCAGAATCAGACATCTTAGAGAAGAGCCTAAGTGCATCCTGGCCCTGGCCATGAAGGCCATAACCTGAAATCATTGCATTCCAAGTCACCACATTCTTGTCCAGCATCAAGTCAAACAATCTTCGAGCCTCTCTAATGCTACCACATTTTGCATACATATCAATTAAAGCAGTTGACACATAAATGTTAGACTCAAAACTCTTGCTTCTAACTAGGCCATGTACCCACTTCCCCAGACTTAGAGCTCCAAGCTGAGCACAAGCTGAAAGAATGCTTGTAACTGTGACAGGATTGGGACTAACTTTGGACATCTGCATTTCCTGGAAAAGAGATATTGCTGCTTCTGTCAATCCATTTTGTGTGTAACCTGAGATCATAGCATTCCAAGACGCTGGAGTTTTCTCTGAGGACTCATCAAAAAGCAGCCGAGCAGATTCAATCTCATTTAGTCTGCTGTAAGCAGTAGTTAATGCTGTTGAAACAGAAGATTGTGAAACAATACCAGATTTCACACAGAAACTATGAATACAAGTAGTAAGATTTAAATAACCAAAGGGAGAAAAGACAGGAATCAACCCTACAATTGTACTTGAATTGACTTTTTCCCCAGAACCAAGGAGTTGTTTAAAGAGCCTCACCGAACACTCACTCTCACCATTGCTGGTATACCCCGAAATCATTGCATTACAAGAAACCAAATCTGGTCTGCCAATCTCTCCAAACAATAACTTAGCCGCCTCAATCTCCCTACATTTTGAATACAACGAAATAAGCGCGGTAAGCACATGAACATAGGAATGAAACCCGAGTTTTAAAGCCAAACACTGAACCTCCATCCCCAAAGTCAACTCTTGCAACTCCGCCAAAGCCGGTAAAACAGCAGCCACAGTAGTTGAATCCAACCGAATCCCGCCATCTTTAAGCATATCGCCAAAAATCAGTAACGCATCCTCAAAACAACAAATTTTAACCAACCCAGAAATCATCGAATTCCACAGCACCGTATCTCTTAGAGGCATTTTATCAAACAACTTTCGTGCCAAATCAACTCGCCAAATCTTCAAATAAAAATCAACAACAGCAGTACCCACGAATAAATCCAATCCACACCCATCAACAACCGCATGTTCGTGTAACAACATACCCACTTTCTCATCCGAAAGGGTAGAAGCGGATGCGATAGCGAAGGCGTAGGTGAAGTTATCAGGGTTGAGGTGAGTGCATTTCCTCAAATGGGTATAGAGCGAAATGGAATGGACGTTAGAGAAGCCTTTGATGAGAACGTTGAAGAGGAAGAGATCGGGGTTTGGGATGGAGAGGAAGAGGTGACGTGCATAGGAGGTGGCCTTGAGGTCGAAGAGCCTGTGGGTGAGTTTGGTAACGGTTGAGAGGTCATTTTGGAAGCCATTATGGATGATCTGGGCGTGGGTTTGGGTCAGATGAGAAACAGTGATGGATTTCTTGAGGAGGTTTAGGAAAAAGTTTCGACTTCTTGTTGGTGAGTTTGTGCTTGTTATTACGGATTTGATGAACATCTGCCTTCCTCTGTAATTGAGAATTGAACTCTCAGTCATACCTAGGGTAAAATGGCGGGAAGCTGAGATGCATGGCTGCGTGGAGCCAGCTTTGGGCCATATAAACACCGAAGGACTCCATTATAATGATAATTTTGATCGTGGATCGAGTTTATTTTAGTGACAATTAAAATTGTACGAAATTATAAAATGTGTCCAGTTTTTTTTTATATAGTTTTTAAATGTATTTTTATTATATTAGTATCTTTATCGTTTTAATATGCCCTATAAGAGATGTTTTTCACTCTTTTTGTAAAATTTAACTCCACGATGAAATAATTTTTTTTATAGAATAATAATTATTTATAAGTATTTGGTCTACGAGGGTTCCATATAATAAATATGATATGAATCTTTAAAAAAATCCATGGTTATGATTGTTAATTATAGAATTATAAGTAGTAAAAATAATTAGTCTACAAGTGACTTGAATCCATCAAGGGTGTGCTTAGAATAAGCTTTTTAGATAAGAGCATTCAGTAGGGAGGAAAAGGCAACTTTTCTTCCTTTGGGCTTAATGGGCAGTGGCCCCTTTTACAACAAAAACTGTTGAGGATCAACTCCAAGGTTTCAAGCCATGGTCTTCTCCTACGGCTTTGAATTAAGCCTACTTTCATCATCATTAATCATTAAATGCACTTAGTAAACATCATTCCTAACTTCTCAATTATTTCAATCAAATATGATTTAAAAAAAAATAAATTTAGGAATCAAAACGAAACGTTCACAAAAAAGTTAGGAACTAATTGGGTAATGGTCCAAGAATTCGTGGCTGGAGTCACCGTTGTAACAATTCACAAGATAGCGTTTCACTTTCTATGCTTTTTTATTACAATCTTACAATTCTCTTTAATATAATCTTGCAATTTATGATCATATTTTATACATAAAATTAAAACAAAATAAAATAAAATAATATTATGAGTTAAATTAAATTAAATAATATTATCTTATCTTATATTTGATATATGCAAAAATTAAAATAAAATAATTTATTTATTAATCAAAATTTTTTTTTAAAACTTATATAATTTAAATTATTGATGTAATTTTAAAGATATAATAAAACATATAAATTTAATCTTATGGATTAAAAACAATTATTTTCACTTTGAAATGATTGAATCATTTTATACTAACAGGATAATAATTCTCCTTATAATCTTATTTTTTTCAATTAGATACAAATAAAATATAATATAAGATAATTATTATACTATCCTATCTACAATCCTATGCACCAAACATAACTTGAAATTATGATTGATTAATTGTAATACAATAATTATATAATTTCTTTTTTTTTTTTTTTTCAAATCCTTTGCATTTTCTTTTCATATGCGTGATACAAAAATTACACGTAGAAAAACTGGGCCAATAGCTCTATCTTTTGAAAGGGAAAAAATTACCATTTAAGTTAAGAAAAATTTAAAAAAAGGGACAATTTACATTTACTGGGAACTGAGCAGATTTTGTAATTTATCTCACTTAAATGATACATTGGCAGATTGTTAGCATACCAGGTGGTCAGGGCCATGGAAATGCTTTGGTTGCCAAGATTGGCCGCTTCTTGCTCTCCAAAGGTTGTTTTGGTTGTATGAGATGAGACCTAAGGCTGCACTCTTCTAACTGTTCAATACCAACGGCAAAAATATTGTCAAAGATAGTCCTAAGAGAAAAGATAAAGTAAATATATACGTTAGAAAATAGAAACAAAACTTTGCAATTGCACAATCTATTTTAGCCAGCTCATATGGAATATATATGAGATGACCAGCTGATATCAGCTACCCAGTTTGATAGTGATGGCATGCATCGGTCACATATATCATAGCGATTAGGATGAATAAGGACTAATGCATGAATGAAGAGAGAATGATGAAGCATTGACAGCCAGCATTAATTGGCTCTAAGCGCTTAAAAATGTAACCAGGTTGGTGTTTAACTTAAGTAGCAAAGGCTAAAAAACATTTATTGAGTTAAAATTACTGATTGTGCATCTAAGTCAAGTAGGGTCAGTTTGAAGCAAATATGGAAAGAGCTGACATACAGTGCCCGTATGGCATGCATGTTTGAGCATCACATCAGCTTCATACCTAAAATTCTTCCCTGTCCCTACTAACGCATGAAACAAAATTCCTTTTCGGCATGATCAACCAGAACTAAGTCAACTAAAATGCCATATTAAAGCATTTCTCAACAATAAGGTTGGATTTGGCCAAGTGTATCCTACTATCTCATTGCTCAGTATGGGGCAGGAGTTAACTCATCGGTTGAAATTCAAGTTAAACACTCCCTAACTTCTCTCTCTCTCCCTCTAGAAGAAAATAACTGAAAATCTTAACCTCATGCTTTGTCAGATTTCTTATTACATGCACAATAAACATCATACAATCTTAACTTTGGAGGAGCTTAAAAGGTCAAATCTGGAAGAAATATCTCTTTTTTGGGGCATGCTTAGACGTTTTATGTCCATATATTTGGAAGATCTTAAATCTGGAAGCCTAGATCTATTTAATTTAAAGGTAATTAAATAACCCATCAAAATACTATATGTAGCTCCAGAAGTTAATTATGTCATCATCCTATGGGATAAACTTTGATCCATGCAAATGATAGTTTCAGTTCAAAGCAAAAAGACAGCTGATTGTTGTCAATGCAAGTTGCAGTGATATTTAATCCAATAATTCAAGTTCTGCAAGCACGCAATGAGTCCTCACCTGCATAGCTGCTGATGAAGACAACAGAGCTTCACATTGGTCAAGCATGTTTTTCTCTTGTGCAGTTATTGCAGCAAGCTCAGAAACCAAATTGTTTATCCCTTCCACCTACAACAAATAAAATATTGAAATAAAGTTAAGCATCTGGACTGAAACCAAAGATATTAAAAGACATCAACAATAGAACGGCCTGATAAAATCAGAATCCAGAGTTTGTCACACATTGGAGCAGCACAGGGCCAAAGTCCAAGTTGCCAATGTGAAATTTTTGGTCATTAGGAGGCGTATATGCTTTCACCATAGCATTAGATGGAAAAGAAGGGTAAGAAAAAAAATCTTTTCAAAATTCAGATATACATTATCTATGTTGAAATTGCAAGAAACACTTGTCTCAATATCTTAAAAGTAAAATAAACAGAAATAAAACTTCTACTTGTATTGAAACAAGCTTTCTCGGAAAATACACCAGCAGTTGGCATCTTAAATTTCAATATCAATAACAGAAAAGATCTAAGGATTCCAGGACTAAGCAGAAGGGAGAAAAAGCAAGATTCAGAGTCACTATTGTGACATGATAGGCATTCAATTAAAAATAGTAGCAGGAAGTAAAGACTACCACATAGATATTTGTTCTAACTGCTTATAATGTCAGCATTTATGCCAAAAAATGGGGAAACTAGTGGCTTAGGAAGCTAAATACCTTTGAGAGTAAAGAACAAATGGAGGATCCCATAGCCTGCATCACGTCAACAGCAGAGCAAATAGCAGCTTTCAATGATTCAATGTCCGCCTGAAGAGTCCAAAATTCAGTAATAATATCAAGATTTCTCTTTTCAGATATCAATCGAGAGTATTTTTCTAAACTAACTTACCCTTGCCCCTCCAGTTACGGGAAGACGGAGAGTGCTCGCCTCCAGATCTTCTACTGCTCCAGCTAAAGAACTTATATGATCTCTTTCAAGTAATGCCCAATTGTTGAGGTATCCCATCTGCGTTAATCATGTACATACATTAATTTAGCCAAAGGAAATCCTGTGGACTTACATACAGAAACTACAAATTGGTATTCGAAAGCCTGATTGAAAGTTAAAATATATTTCCCTGAAAACATTATTTCTCTTCCAAGCACAATAGGCATGCTTAAGAATTTACTTCTTTCATTTGATAGATTAAAGATGAAAATGAAAGTTTAATGTTGTTTTCTATTGTCATCAACTACATCCTCTTTTTTTAGACAGATGAAATGATGTCAAAACATCTACAATTTCAATGTACAGCCCAACTTGGGAATAAAGTTCTAAAGACCGTGCTAAAAGCCATAAGTTGTTTAGATGGGAAAGGAAAATATAAGAGTGCTTGAATGCCAATAAAGAAAGTGCTAGGTCGCAATGAAGCATCTCAGACAAGGATAACAGAAAAGAGAGGAAGAAGAGGGCAAAAAGAGAAAAATGATCCTCCATTGCTCACTTGTTATCCAGGTCATAAAATAATAATTATCTAAAAGTGTAAAAAGAAGAACAGCATCAAATTCCAAGCTCCATTTTCATTTAGTATATTGTGTTGAAGACGGACAGGTCAGTACAACTTCAGTATTCCAATTCAGATATAACTCTAACAACAAATATTGGTACACCTATATTCTATTGCACAATGCTTAGAAGGGAAAGCCTGCAAATTTTTGCTTAGTGGAAAGACTATGTACTGATATGCTGATTGTCAGAAAAGATTCTTTTGTTTTTGCACGTCACAGAATATTCTTGAATGAGTGAGATAGCAAATTCAATTCTTCAAATTTTTAGATGAGATGTTTCCATATGGATGAAAGATATCTCTTTAAACTTTTGGAGACAAAAGCAATTAAGCAGTTGATCATAAGCAATTGTTCCAAATGTAAGACATGAAATATATTATTCATGTAGATAGTAAATTGTGTCTCTCTTCCATCAATTCAACATTAATCACCAGGAAAAAAGTTTCATAAAAAATGTTCATCGAAAATTGCAACTGTAATGTAATTGTAACAGTAATAACTAGAAGAACACATATTAGTTATCAAGTGAAGGCCACTTCAAAGTCATATTGGACATATATCAGAAAGTCAAAGGTACCAGATGCACACTTGACCCCTGGTCTTCTTATTATATACCTTCCATGTTTATGCAACAGAGAGTCAGTTGTTATATTTTGTCACATTTGATGGAAACTTTTTCCCTTCAATATTTTCAGGTCTTAAAATTTTATAGTTTGCCTTATCCATAGAAACTTGCTGAACAAATAAGCATTTTAAATATGGGGATGCAGAATATATTTCAATCTAATAAGGTTCCTAGCACCAACCAAGATGGAAAGTTCAAACACGAAAGAATCTTTAGAGCCGATCAAACTGGAATTACATGTCAGGAGTAAATTACTGGTACTTTCTTCTGATTGCACCAAAATATGGAGTGGATCCAAATGCAGAAGACCCTCTAATTCCTCAAATGCTGAAGCTTGGGCCAAAATGCACAGCACACTGCAGAATGAGCCTCCAGTCATGGGTTTTCCAATATTCTCAGCCATTATAGGACTAGCACGACTAGAAGATTATGATTTACAATTCTACAAGACCTCTAAGTTCATTCTAATCAGTATCTCAGCCAAATTTAAGAAGCTAGGTGGTCCACAACAATGCTATACATCATTACCTATAGCGCTGTGAAAATAAAGTAGGCCCTCTATTCATCTAAATGATGCTTCCAAAAAGCTATGCTGATTATAATATTCTATTACTATAAAATTTAGACCAATAGATTGGTTCAAGGGGTAGCCTAGTGATATCCATCTTTCTTCCGAAAGGAGGATTCCTCCTATCCATAAATGAAACAATTTAGACCTACAGATGAAAGAAGATACATAAGTATGCACTAAATACCTCCCTGTGTCTTCACAAGGAATTGAACAATTAAAAATGCACATAAACTGCTATTATAATGTCTAACTTAATATATAGAAGCATTAGTAACATCAAGATTGTAAGAGGGGAATAAAAGTGTGCTATGAAAGGACAATGTTGTTATGGAGAGAGGCATTACTTGATCATTCAAAACTGAGTTCAGCTTGAGCTCTAACTTCAACTGTTGGAGATTGATCTTTTTCTTGATCATGGCATCCCACAGACTCGAAGTAGCATTCCAAACATTGTACAAAGTTTCCTGCAACAACAGATTTAAATTTTCTTTGATTAAAGATATAACATGCTATATAAGAGGAAATTCACTACCACGCCATTTCTAAAGCTCTATGCACATGATATGCATAAAAGTACAACACTTCCATGAATTCCTCACAAAAAGAAACTAATCATATGGATCATGATGCAAAAAAGCAAACAATCTGAAGATTTTCTTTATTCAATAATTGGAGAAATGCATTGTGGAAATTAAATTTTCCTATTCAAACCATCAAAGATTATCTTCCTTTCTTTCATAGAAGAAATCTACCTCCACAGTAACTTTCTGAATATACAATACAGCTTCTGCCTGGGCATTAGCAAATCGCCACTGCAAATAACGGTTGTAAAGAAGTCGCAGTTGATGAGCATCCTCTATGTAGCTTGCGCTTTTTCTTCCCTTCTTAAAATCTGCAATAAAACTGAGAACTGAAGTTGAGCTATGGGATTGACTAGATGAAGTGGATGTCCTCATCCGAGATGGACTAACTCCCCTTGGAGTTGGACTGACTCCCCTTGGAGTTGGACTGACTCCTCTTGGAGGTGGAGTGGAAGGTCTTGCCCGAGATGGACTGACACCCCTAGAAACAGAGGTCCTACTTGGTGACTGAGGTCGTGATCCAGGAGCAGATAAAGACAGAGATTTGACCCCATGAGTTGTTAATGTCATCTTGTCCAATGAACTGGCAGAAAGGAGCCTTGCAGGTCCAGATACCCGCATAGACTTATCATCAATTGAAATTGCCTCAGACCCTACTCTACCAATTTCATCAAGTGATAACCTTGCAGCATCACTAGCAGATTCATGTAGAGGTTTACCCAAACTATCAGACATTGGCATTCTCTTCAGTGAAGATAAATCCATTCCCGGAACTGGTGTAGATAAACTTTTAACAATCTTATTGCCCAGATCCACATTTCTGTTCAATGAATTGGAAGATAATTTCCCACCAATTCTACTAGGCCATCGATGCTGATCTATCAATCGGCTAGGCAAACCATCAACTGGTTTTGAATTTTCAGACTGATCAGGTGCATTTTTCCCTTTAAGAGGACTTCTTTTTCTATCTGGAGTAGGCTTCTGTGATAAGTTGGATGACTCTGACTGTTGTCTGTGAGCCAAATTTGAAGAAGGTCTCAAAGTGCGATCCAAGGAAACATTACTAACTGGTTTTTCTTTTTCCTTTTTGCTAACAGGAATAGAAATAATGTCAGACTGAAATGAAACACTAAGACTTCTCATAGTAGAAGGCCATAAACTTTCTGGTATACGGCCAGTTGATAGCCTTCTAGATGATATCTGCACAGACATTGATGAATCATGAACCGGAGTAGATGGACTTCGAGGTGAAGGTGGTGTTGAGGGACGCTTCCTCTCAGCTGATAGAGATCTCTTTTGTACCACCTGTGAAGGTGTAGGGGTTGTTCTAGTGAGGTTTGGAGATGGGCAGCGCCTGGGACCAGAAGGTGTTGATGGAGTGGGTGATTTATACCTCGAACTAACTTCCCTTGTTCGAGGACGTCTAGTAGTGAGTGGTGCATTGTTCTTTTCAGCAGGAACAAGTGGCAATCTTGTGGTAGCCACAGCAGCAAGCTTGTGCAATCGTTGCTCTGATTCACATACATCCATCCAAACTCTCCAAACTAGACCGCATTGATGGGATTTTCCAAACAAAAAGCCAAAACTACATTTAACGGCCTAACTTTTACATGAATCCTACATGTAATTGGAAAAACACCAGCTGCTCAAAAAGAAGATACTCTTCCCTGCAATAAATCTGGCCACAAATGCAGAAACCAAAAGTTAGATGCTTACAGAATCGCAGAAAGCAAAGGAATAATTACAAACAACAGAGAAAAAAAAAAGAAACTGAAAAGGAATACATCTTTTAGATGCCCAGATCTGACTGACGAAGAATTAGAGAATTACAAGAAACGGGCATTGGTTATTCATCAAGAAAAGCCCAAATCCAAGCAGATCAAGCCATCATAACGAGGCTAAGAAGTGATAAAACAGCATCAGGTACAATGGGGGGTCCTTAAGAAATTTCAGTAGACTTCTATCCAACGTACATTAACGGTCATCACTAGATTGTCTTTGTGTTAAATCTCGACAAAAAATTGCAAATGCAATGTACTAAGGGGTCCTCTATGGGAAGACTTGAGAAACTATACTGTTAAGTCTGCAATGGTTGTTGGTGCCTGGTGGTGGGGTGTAGGATAAGAAGACAGCTAAAACAAAGGTGCGTAGGAGAGAGAGAGACCATTCTCTCTCAAAAGGTCACTAATCTTGTTATGTTAATATTTCTCTTTTGTCCCTCTCACGGGAATGCCATGGTCGGCTGGGCAGGAAAAAGAAAACCACAATGGGGTTCACTGATTCGTACTCACAAAAACAAATAGACAGCCCTACTCTCTGGCTTCCTTCCTTTCCTTCTCTTCCCCTGTCCATTAAAAAGAATTCAATGACAATGATCCCAACAAACAATTGCTGCAAAATATATAAAAATAATAATAATAATGTCCTTTCCATGAAAAAACAAAAAAAAATTTAATCACATGGGACTTTTACCTTGGGATCACATGTTTGGTTAACTAAATGACAGTAAAATTAACATAACAATTAACAACTAAAATGCAATTAATAAATTAGGTAATAATGTATGTATGCTTGTTTGTTTGTATCCATATTTGTTTAAGTTATTTAAAAAAATTAAAAAAAAAAAAAGAAGTTTAGCAGTGCTAATGTTGTTGAAGATATGGAAAGAGCCATGGAGGACCAAGTGCAAGGAAGATCATTGTCCACCCGTATGAATACCAGTAAAAACTTGAAATAATAGTTAAAATTCTATTTACACAAAAAAAAAATTATACTATAAATAATACAGAAAAAAAAACATAGAGTAATTCCTAGAAATATAGTCTTTGAATTGATCATCTGGGTATTTTTTTTTTATTTTGTATTTCCTGATTGAAGAACGAAAATGGATGGAAACCACAGTAACGATTAAAACTTTAAAATTTGATTAAAATTGAAATAATTAAGAAGGGTTTTAAATTTTCTTTTAATGATTAGAATCCAAGATCATTATAGTGTCTGTATTAGACAGGGTTACGTCCCTAAAATTGAAGACAAAAAATACAGTGATTAAAAAGAAGTGTTTCATGTAAATCTCTTTGTAAGAAAGTTGCAGAGATTTTTCATTGAATCCAACTGCTAAAAATAGCAACAAAAAAGATTACTTTAAACTAATTTAATGTTAAACTGCCTTTTAAAAAAAAAATTGTTTTATCCCAATTCGGTGATCGACAAAGCAAGATCAAAGCAGGAAGCAGAAAATTAATTGAAATATAAACTCAGATTAAAAAAGAAAGAAAAATATTTTATACAAAAAAATCTCACCTTTATCGATCTAAAAAATCTTCCAAATGATTCAATCACAAAAATAACCCTAAGAAATTCGTCAATTCTTTGAAATTCGAGATACAAACGAACCAAGGGGGTGATCTCCGGAGAGGAAAAGACAGATCGCCGAGGGCTGTTCGGAGATCGAATATTCAGGCGGGAGATGGAAACCGATTGGATTTTTTTATTTTAATTTTGTTTTTTTAATAAGAGAAACGAGAAGGAAAGAAAGGAAGGGTCGATGAATAAAAAAGAGAGAAACAGAGAAAGAGTAAGAGATAATTTCGAGGAAGAAAAGAAATAAAGAGAAGGGATAATTACAAGGGAAAAGGAAGGAAAAAAAAAAGTTTGAAAAAAAGATGAGGGAAAAGAAAACGGTTTTTCAGTTGAGAGGGGATTAAGAAGGATGTTGTTTTCGCGCCACCTACTTTATTGGATTTTTCAGTACTTAAGGAGAAGAGAAGTTTTCTTTTGTCACGTTAACCTTTTTTTAATAAAAAAAATTGTCAATTAATTACAACTTACTAGTTTCTCTTTTTTTTTTTTTTTAACGTTTTTGTTATTATCAAGTAATTGCTTATCAATAATTGGTTTAAATGATATATATAGTTTATATTTGTTATATTATCAAAGTATACATTTTATGTATTATTAATAATTAAAAATATTATTTCATTAATGAAAATTTAAAAAAATCAAGTTTTATGTATTTTTCTTAAAGATTAATTAAAAATTATGTTTAATCATTAATGAAGTGATACTATTTGATTTATTAACAATATATAAAATTTATATATGAATAAGTAAATCAAATATAAATTCATATATACATATAAATAAATATAAAAGGAATGGATCAACTGATATAAGTATAAAACTTTTTAGTTTTGTATATATTTTTAATTATTTATTTTAATAAATTTAAAAGATAAGAGAAATAAATTAAAAAATTTTAATCTCATCCATTGGATCAAGGGAATAAAAAATCAAAAATTAAAAATTAATTCAAAATTATAGTATTTAGTTCGATTCGGATTGATTTTTTTTCTTATTCGGTTCTTATTAAACTTGGATATTAAATATATATATATTAGGTTTTGATTAAGTTTTAAATTAAAAATTAAGAAGTAAAAAAAAAATCGAACTGAACCAAATTAAATATTTTTATTAGTTTTTATATATTTTAAATTTTTATAAAAAATAATTATTTTATATATAAATATATTAAAAATTATATTATAATAACATATAAAAATAAAACTTTAAAAATTGATTAATTGAATTAAAATGGTAGAATTCAATTCAGATCGAATCTAATCGTAAAAAATTCAATTCGAATTCGGATCAAATTTTAAGAATTCATAATTTATACATTATTCAAAAAATCAAATCAAACTATATTTGATTTAAACCATTATCATACTTACTTGAATCTATTGAAATTAATTATTAAAAAATAGATAAAACTAAAAACTTTTACATTAATATATATATACTTAAATAATCAAATTAAAAAATTCTTCTTTATATATGCATCAACAATTGATTAAATTTATAATGAATCAATATTTCGCTTGTAATGTTTAAATTCAATTTTGACGCTAACAATTTTTTTGATAGATCATTTGTAAGTTTACGTTGACACTTATGATGTGTTCTAACTCTAAAATGAAATAATATAATTTTTTCTATATAATTTACCTTTACTTTCTTTTTTCAACATAAAAAGGAAATTCAAATGATATATTTTTTAAACAAAAATCATATATTAATTAAGAACTAATTGCTACAATGCACTTTATTTCCACTCTTATTTCTATCTGACTTCATGTAACTATCATTTTCATAAAGGTCGATACTTTTTTTTTTTTTTCAAGTTATGACTTTTTTCTAAAAAAAAATATTTTCCATTTTTTAGGTTGTAGTCTGAAGTTTGAACAAGTGTAAAAAAATTTTTCTTGATTTAAATCTCTATCCTTTTAAGAACATAACTAAAATATGCTGCAAATTAATTTACATTATTTGCTCATAGCCTTTAATTATATGCCAAGAAAATGTCAAAGAGAGATAAGGCACATAAATTGGTCAAATGGAGAAGATTTCAAATATCATTAGGTCATGGATTCAAGTTTAAGACATGTGGACTTTTTTTTATTTTTACTTTATGTTAAATTATCTATATGTTATTGATTTCTTCTATTATACGTATTTGTTTTATTGTATGTTTCAATTATGTTGTATATAATAAAATTATATATTTTATTAACGAATGTTTTTAAGTTGATTTGATAATTCGTGTTATTGTATCATATTTTGTGTTAGATACAATTTTAGACATTACATGAATAATTTTGATATGAACTCACATGAATAACTTAAATATGAACATGACACATTTATTATATATGTTACATGCAATTCAACACGATTAATATATTTAAAATTAATTATACCTAAATAACATAATACAACATGACACGATTAATAATATTATATACGAATAACACCATTAGATATTATTAATTCATTTATTTAAATAAAAAATCATTTAAATTAGTATTTAAATAAAAAATTATTTAAAAATATAATATTTATAATTTATTTTAACACTAAAATGATGTGATAAATATGATTATTAAATTATTTTTTAAATAAATTAAAATAAATTTTAATTTTTTTATGTTATGAATAATACCATATCTTAAGCATATTTTTACTGTTTGACATAAATACGACATAAATAATATTGTGTCTTAACCGTGTTGATATAATTAAGACATAAAATAATCATATATGATTTTTTTATGTTATGTTTGTATCGTGTCATTTTGTTGTATTTAAAATTATCAAGTCAACTTTTAAAACACTTATTAAGTTAATTAAATTATTATTTATAAAAATATTTTATGATAAATAAATAAATAAAAATTAATTTAATAAAATTTAATGCATTGAAAATATCAACTTTCCTAATACAGTAACTTTAAAGGGTAACCTCAGACACTCGTAAACATAATTATAATTTCAACTTATACATGCAATTTCATAAAATAAAGCTTCTTTTTCATATATATATATATATATATAAATACAACGTATTGAATTGGAAAAATTGACAAACAAAAGATTTAACTCTAACAAGAAGTCCAAGTTTTTTTATTGGTGATTAAGAAAATTATTTGCTTATTAATGGTCTCCGTAACACTTTCTTTAAACAGCTTATGGAATAATTTTACTAATTTCCTAAAACAAAGAGAATTCACAGCACATCAAAACCGCCACCAGCAAACATTAAAATCGTTGCTAATTATAACATTACTTAAAGTTGCATTAAAATCATCAGCTATAAACATTGAAAGCATTAACCACCCATATTGATCAATTTCCAGCTGAACCAAAACCAACCGTCCCTAAATTTATGATAACTTTTGTTTCTTACAGATAGTTCCAAATCTTGGAAATGAATTTCATGTTCATTTAAAAGATGTTAAAAAAAGTAAGACTCTTCAATGAGTTGGAAACCTTTTGATTTGGATTTTAAAACCTCTTTTAGGAAATGAACTTCAGCAAGTAACCTACGCAAATGGTTGGCATTTTAAATTTTCTATTAAATTGTTGTTATCAGATGGCTGTTCAAGTACTAAGAGTACTGATTTTTTTCTTTTTATTTTTTTGAGATATTACAATCATCAATAAAGATGGTGATAGATTAGGTAGAGATGGGATTTTACTCACTTTGAATCTGATTGATTTTTAAAATATTTTACTCGATTCCAGTACGATATTGGATTATTATTTTATATATCAAATTCCGATTTAACACCTATGCGTATCACGTCCAATCTGTTATTAATCCAAAATTAATTTAATGATTTTAATTTAGTATTATATTTATAAAAATATTATTTTTTAATAAATTATTTTTCAATTATATATAAATATAATATTTTTATTAAGTTAATATTTTAAATTTATGTATTAGATCATATTTTTATTAATATATATACATATGTAAATATAAAATTAAATTGTAAAATATATATTTTATATATCTCAAAACAGATCGAGATGAAATATTTTAAAATATAATTTTGAATCAATCTTAATTTTATTTTTTTTAAAAATACTCAATCAACTTTCAATTCAATCTTCGATGTAAAAAAAATTATCTTTATTAAATTAAAACGAACCAAAATACATCCTTTACGAATTATTTTATCATCTCTAATCATTAATGATTAAAATATCCCTTTTAATGGACAATGAGGGTTTTCACCTTACACCAGAATATCTGCACATCATACAACTTGAGCTCAGACTGAGACAGATTTATCAAAAAATAAGATGAGCTTATTTTTTGTCTAAATCTACTAAATAAATACATAAATAAGATGGATTAAAATAGAAAGATTATGTTCACACTAGCTAGAGAAAAAAAGCATGAATATGGATGTGATTATGGTCAAATTCATTATTATATAATTTGCAGGAGTAAATGAGTTCAACTGTAAATCCTTTGATTTTAGGCACGATTCTAGCAATGCAATCTAAAAATTTTAATGCTTGGTGGGATGTTCCTGACTTATATATTTTTTATTATTCTTTGGTAGAAAGAGAATAGAGTTTTTTTTATTCTTAAGTAATCTTTTAGATTATTTTTTAAGTTTTGTATCTTTTAAGTGGATTTTTTAGAGTGGTGAACTTTTATTATTTTGTATTATTGATTAGAATTTTTAGAGTGGTGTTTCTGTATCCCTTAGTTTCTAATATTGGTGGTGAACTTTTATCCTTTTTAATCTAATAATCATATTCTGTCATTATTTAAATTCTTATAAGTTATCTTCTTTATGAGTTTTTCTATTTGTAGTTAATCTTTGCATCTCAAACATCAATTCTTAGCATCAAATTGATATCAGAGCTATGGCAGGTTGTCATCATCAAGCACCAATAGAAGAGATTGAAGCCAACATCAATGTTGCAACAACTATCAA